TACGATAAATGTCGATTATTTACTATATATTATAATTTCTGATTACTTTTGTATTTTTCGTTCTTACTTCTGATTGCGAGAAAACAAAACAACGGCAGATGTGTAAAAAAAAAACAACAAATAATAATAAAATTCTCGGTAATTCGCGCGTACTCGCGACACTTTTTTTCTTCCTTTAGCCATGTAAACATGCAATCAACTCTTCTTAGCGCCACACAGTCATACACACACACACACACACACACACACACACACACACACACACAAAAGCACTCACAGAAAACAACACAAGCACTCACACATGCACACTTATTAAACTTCTTTTACTAAATATCATTGAACGCGCGAGAGTTCTGCTGTTTTTACACACATACCTCGAACGCGTCGTTGATTTTTGATAATTTTTTGTTGTTGTTGTTGTTCGATGTGAAACGAAATAACAAGCAAGAGAAGAACAACAGAAAAATAATGTAATAAAGATTACTTTGTTGTGCGTTGAATGTCACCTCATCAGATGAAAATGATTTTCGAGGCACACGGAGATGCCAATAAAAATGCTGTTGTTTTCTGTTTGCCTTTTTCTACTCTACATCTCACTTCTCTCACTCACGTTTTCTCACCAGCTAATTTATTTTATTTTATATGTTGTTATTCAACCACATAAGGTTTATGATTTCGGTATATTTGTTGTTTTTGTTTTTCTTTTCTTTGATTCCGGTTTAAATGTCATACCAATAAAATTTCGATTTAAGTTTTTGTCCCTTTTTTTATTATTATAAAACAACGTAGCTATGAGATGATGATGATGATGATGAGAATATAAAATGTTGTTTTGTGTATTTTTGTGCGACTGTTTTGATGTGATTATATATTCTCAATCACTCATTGTCGATTTGTTTTATTGGTATATTCTACACGCTGCTCGATAATTTTTGTTTTTTTTTTTTTTTTTTTCGTTTCTAATATTTTGACTAGGCTTCACTTGTTCACAAATTTTTACACACACTGTTCACTTTGGTTTTTGTTTTGATTATTATCTCGCGATTAAAGCTGTGGATAGATTTTCAAGCGAAAACTAATAACAAATGAAATATGGAATTTCATCAAAATATCTTTTTTCACTCTCTCAATTTTTAACTCTACATTCTTGAGTATTAAATTTCCATGCAAAGTACAATATATATATATATATATATATATAATATAATGAATTAACCGAGAAAGAGCGCGCGCTCCTTTCAATGGCAATGGTTCATAGTAGAATGTGTAGTAGGAAAATAGCGCGCACCTCATTCGACTCAACTCTCACTTTGGCTGAAACGAAATTTTTTACTTAGCGTTCCGTCGCTGTTATTTTATATACAGACATATTATTTTTTTTGTTCTCTTTGCGTCTTTATTTTATTTCTACACTCATTCGCTCCCTTAACACGTCTTATACGTCTTGTGTGTTTGTATATACATATAAACATAAACATACAAGCATAACACGCATACACTGATATTTTAAACTAAATACACAGCATAACATTCACCACACACATTCGATGTATATGTGAATCAATCTATATACACGATACACATGATGCGAACACGTTTTTATTAGTTAGGCAGTTCAATTGTTTCTGCCGATTCAATTTACAAAAAATTCACTGGAACATCAAAATTTACAAATAAAGATTCGTTGTGACAACAATATTCGACACGTGTGAGTTGTATTGAGTCGATAGAAAATAAAATACTAAATAAAAGTCGATTTTTTTGGTCATGCTACCGCGGCCGTTTCTGTTGTTTTCAAGAAAATTGTAGTATGAGTAAAGCGTGTCTGTGCGCAATACATAGGATAGTTTGTCTCCATTCACATCGGCTGGTCGCGCACATGGGTGTGTTTGTGCGTCTGATTCAACATTTTTACAAATTTGTCATAGTTTTTTCTCGGTATTTCTTCTCTCACTCTACGAGTGTACGATTGTATTGCCGCCACCGTGCCCAGATATGCGGAGCTGCGGATAGATACTACCATAAATTCATTCTAGCGTAGCGTATGCGTTCTCAACGAAAACTGTGCTCGCAGCATAAGCGTAAGCAATATACGTCAATGTAAGGACAAAAAGCCAAAAACACACGTTTTTGTTTGAAGTTACGTAGCATCGGAGCAATGGCGTCTATTTACTCAAGTTCTTTCGGTTAGAAATTCTAACTTGGAATTATGCACAACGCACTGCATCCATTTCGCATCTGATGATTATGATGGAGATGGTGACTATGTGTGCGTGAGTACGTTGATCTTGCCCATTGATCTGAGTATTTGTATGAATAGAACATACTCGCCTATAAAATAAAAAATTTACTGTGACAACATTGTGACAATTCTTCGCCGTAATATAGTTATAAATTAAATGTCTCTCTCATTCTATCTATGTGTTTACACTTCCCTTCACTTCATTTATTCCTCTCATTCTTTATCCATCTATCTATCTCTTGTACTAACTGCACTCGATGGAAATATTGTGTCATTTAGAATTTACGCTTTTTTATTCAATAAATAAATATAAACGGCGCTTCGATTTGTTTTGCAAAGAAAAAGAATTCAAGAATTCATTTACGCACACATTTTGGCTCTAAAAGCACCGAGACATTGTTTTTATTCGTAAGCATATTAAATTTCAGAATGAACATCTAATTTTTCCTATTCGCTTTATTTTATAATTCAATGTGCGTGAATGCGGTAGGGTATTTTTTTTTTTGATAAAATTCATATTTTGTTCATTTTATTTTTATGAACAATGACTCAATATTTCAAGTGTGTTGTTGTTGTTTTTTTGTTTCAATTTTATTTTCATTTCATCGTCGATCGCATTCGCAAAATCATTTTTATTTATGTAGGCATTGAGTCCTTGTGGGGCCACTGAACACCTAAAATAGAATATGAAATTCAGTGATACGCATTTAGATTTTATAAGTTGGATGTTTTTTTTTGTCTTTCTCGGTCTCATTTACATTTTTTTGCTTCCTCAATGCTTGCGCTTGATTTTGGTTCGCACATATGGAAAATTTATTATCTCTTCATCGTCCAGAGAATGCTAATTAAAATCCAATGAAATCAGAGTGTGTCTTGTTTTGTGTGAAAAGTTTGAAATTTTGGAACATTCAATTCAATGTCTTAAAACTTTTGGTTTTTATAGTGATACCGAAATAATCTCTGCAGTATTGCATTTAAATGTTCAGCCTGTTTTGTATGCGATCTTTTCAGGGATAATGTAACTTATAAAATATTGTGCAACTTACTGCCAACATCATCATCGTCAGAATAAAAGCCTCGAAAATAAACAAGATTGATCGATAAATATTGAAGGCAGACCAAAGTTAAACCGACCGATTTCGATGTAGAAAAATTTTTTTGTATGAAAAGTGTGTCGAAATATATTTGTATCGCAAAACTAACGTCACGTTCGGTTTTCTCGTACCCAAAAACCCCCGATACATATTTTTGGATGTTTAAGAATACATTAAATATCACTTTTGGAAGAAAAATTGAATCTTTCCCATGGATGGCCATGGGCTTCACACCAGACATGGCACTTTACTCTATCAACCAAAGTCGCTCAAAATCTAATGGTTTCTATTTCTCGGCACCCCCAATCATCCTGTGAAGTCAGATTTTGAATTACTCTTCTTGTTTGAAAGTTATCGTGTTAACAAATTTTTTCGTACAGGGTACAGGGTACCACGCACATACATTCGGACATCGAAAAATTGACTGATTCGTGTTCCCTGGCTCCTAAAACACCCAGAAAACATGTTTTTTGGGGGTGTTAATTTTTCGACCGATTCCAATACTTTACCCTACGCACTAGGTGTGTGCGGAAAAGTAATATATAATTCCCAGCACAATTCTTGTCATCGATGTCGTCCATTCACCACGCGCGCCTTCCTGATGTGCCATGAAAATCGATGGCTCAAATGTTGAAGCATTGAAACGACCGAAGAAAAATCAAAATGTATAGGTCATCCGTGCAGAGTGTATTGATTTTTATGACAAAATCAACAAAAAATGGAGAAGAGAGTGTGAGAGAGGAAGACGAGCCAGTTGTGAATGCGTTACGATAAAACCATCGACCAAATAAGAACGACCGATAAAAAAAGTGAGAGAGTCTGAAATAGTAGAAAGAGCGTATAATTCATTCATCGGCAATTATTGAAAAATATCCACACGTTTCACTTGAGGTTTTCAAACGATATGCTCTGCTCACTTTCTCGGACATTTTCGACTTCCTCTGTGTGGTATTGTTTGTTGGCCCTTTTTTGCGCGCACCATAAACACCATTTGACTGTCAAATTGTAATATTTTTGATAGTCCACATTTGCTTTCGCTCAAAAGTGTGATGATACAATCGCGCGGACACATCAACAACAACCGCACAGTAGCTCTAACACAGATAAAATGTCTGAATATCAAACCATAGAACTTTGTTTGTGAAAAGAAAACATTTTTCCATACCCACGATGAAGGAATTAAAAGAAGAAAAAAATATCCCGGTGCGTCTCGACGCAATGTTTGAAGTGGTTTTTTTTCCTTCGTCGCATTTCTTCAGACGATAATCAAATAAATGCAGTGCAATGTCGTGTATCACAGCTTTTTTTATGCTTCTTTTCATTTCTTTTACTCCCTCTCTGTTATTTATATATTTGACAATCTATTTTCATTTTATTTCTATTTGACTAATTTCTTTAATATCGACGATTATTATATCGTTCTTTATTTCTTATATCTCTCCTCAGTCATCGTGTGTCTGTTTCATCACACAAACCCACAGCACAATGAAAAAGTTTCAGAGTGTAATAAGTTATGAACACACACACACACATTTGTGTTACGCGGCTGTTTGGATTTAGTATTTTCAAGTGTCTCTGAGCAAAAGAACGCCCCTTCCCAGCAATCGCTGCGCTTTTTTTCACCGAATAGATTAAATGGAAATGAAAACTCGAAATTATGCTGCTTCGGTTCAAAATAATATATAATACGAATAAAAATCAAAGGTCTTACGACTGAATTAAGATATTTTACCTTACGACTAACTTTATACATATAGATTAACAGCTAAACTGTGTTTACGTGCTAAAAAAAGGGACTTTAGGTGGCCCCATTTTAATATAAATAAAACCGAAAATTAAACAATAGCAACGGTCCAAAAAAGTTCTGGAAAGATTAATAAAGTTATAATATGACGATAATATGACAGTGTATCTTATTGATATTGACTGTTTTTTCACTGAATACAATTGAATAGAGAAAATATTTACGCAGTATAGAGCAAAACAGGGATATGATTAAAAAATTTACCTATTTTCAAACTGCATTCAAGATAATTATAGAGTTTTTTTATATTTTTGCTTTTTGGAATTTCATAACATGACACGAAAAAAATTCCGAATGTCTCCTTTTTGAATTTTACAAACTTTATCTCATTATTGCTTAAATTTGGATTGGAAGCAAGTAAAAAATCATAAGCATAATTGTCTTAAATTCATTAAATTAAAATATTTCCAAAATATATTCAAAAAAGCGAATGAATTTTAATTATCAAAAATGATGTTCTTTTCCATATTGGGACGTGTGTATGATTTTTTTCTGAGATGATGCGCGCTGTTAGTACGAAAATGGAATCACCGAAATAAAATGATTCGCTACAATGCAAAAACGGCACAAAAAATCAGTTAGAATGCATGAAAGTACATTTGCGATGAAAGCTAAAATAAAAAGAAATAGAGATTTACCCGTTTCCATCAAATATTATTTAACTGTGTGGCACATTCGAATTGAATTTATTTATAACAATGAATCAACATCAATAATAATAATTGTAATCAATGTGTATCAATTGCTTCCAATTGATAAAATTATACTTACCTACCCAGAGGGTACATTACAAGAGTATATACCTAGAGTTGATCAGAAGAAAAGAATGGAACAGAATGGAAAATGAAATTATAAAAAAAGTATATACTTTATAGTTAAGTAAAGTATATCAAATAAAAAACCTCTATCGAGTTAGAGAACGAGTGACGAAACCAAAATTTGAAACACAAAATTTCTGATATCAATTTTGTGACGAAAATAGTTGGTAGATATTTTTTCTGTGTACTGTGAATATAAACTTAATATACATTTGTAAATTCAAAACGTTGCAGAAACGTCCCCCTTTTTACTTTGAGTTCATACTGACGCAATCAAGCAACGTTCCAAATTTACAAATGTATATTAAGTTTATATTCACACTACACAGAAAAAATATCTACCAACTATTTTCGTCACAAAATTGATATCAGAAATTTTGTGTTTCAAATGTAGGTTTCGTCACTCGTTCTCTAACTCGATAGAGGTTTTTTATTAGATATCAATAGTTTTGTAAGTGCTATTTTCCAAGTTAAGGATTCAAGACCCATGGATTTGAATATTTTTCAAATACAATGAAAATATGGATTTTTAGGTTATTTTTGTATCAAAATGATATAAATTATGGATCATAATGATGAACAGAGGTTTTAGCAGTGGTGTGTGGTATGCACATTTTTTTATCTTTGACTTGGGGCTAAAATTGATGAATTTTTAAAAGAACCTATGCAGTCTTTTTCGAGAAAGTGACCGTTATGTGTCCGGCCAGACGGTCAAATTTTGATTTTTGACCGATTTGGCCACCTGAACTTGAAATTTTTAAGTCGCAATTGGCACTATTCGATAGCTTACTTTAAGACCTTTCCAACGAATATGCATATGCCTTGGGTAAGTCAAGTATAGGTGCCACAGCGATTGTTTGAAAAAATGGCCATTTTTGGACGAGGTAATGGACGTTATGTGTCCGGCCGAACGGTAACTTTTTGGTTTTTGGCCAATTTAGCCACCCCACATTGAAATTTTTGGACCGCAAATGGCACTATTCGATAGCTCACTTCAAGACCTTTCCAATGATATGCATATGTCCGGGGAGGATGGGGGGGTGTCAAGTGGATGTGCCTCGGTGACCGTGGGGACAAAACTCAAAAAGTGACTTTTGGAGGCCGGCCACGGCCAACATGGCGGCCAAATCGAAAAGTGCCGGAACAAAAAAGTCTTAGTTTTTTGTGTACTTTAATCACAAAAAGTTTCAAAGAGATCAGAATCGAGTACGCAAAATTGCGCACAGACAGAGAGACATTTTGATTTTTCATAGAGATTCATATGAAATTTTTAAAACGCTGAAGTTTTCGAAAAGTCTCATCGATTTTGACGGTTAGGGGGTCGTTGGAAAGGTATTGAGCTCTAGAATCCGAATATCGATGTTTTAGAGGTCAATGGCCTTATTTAGTGCCATATATGGCCGTAGAACTGAATTTTGACCATTTTCTTGAAAGGACCGTATTTTGAAGACGGGTGGACCGATTTTCAAACTTTGACATTTTTTCTTGATCTATGGCCCAAGGGCTTTCCAACCATACATCAACCGGGGCCATCGGCCTTCTAGGTCTGGATTTCGTAAATTACGTGTATATATAGCGAGTTCGACTTTTCAACACACTAATGTGGTTTCGTCACTCGCACGAACTGCCGTCCGCTGTGCTACTTATAAAATCAATGACCACAACAACAACATTGCTTTAATTTAAGATTTGGTACTGGCAGTAGTAGTAGTGTTGAGATCGCTGATCACTCTCAAAATTAATATGCTTACTATTTCTAGTATATGAGAATGTTCGCGTAGACGTCCGTGCTTATATTTTTGATTGTTGAATTTAATTGTTGTAATAATAATGGAGTTGATGCATGAATGGTCGGAAACAATTTGGCATCAGCAGATGATTCAACATGTACAATCCTTTCTTAATCATATTTCTCGCTGCATTTATATCGCGATTGAATATAACTGTTGTTTTCCGTTCCTTGGGTTCCAGCTTCTCGAATTTATTTTTCTTTCGTCTTGGTTGTGGATTTGGATTTGCTTCTGGAAGCGGTCGATGGAATGTACATATGGAACTGTATTTCCATTCTTGATGTTTCTTTTTGAAAGTACTATGAACTTTGCCTGTCCATTGAATTGGATCGTGAAAAACGCCATCTTCGACCGGTTTACAGTTGGGGCAAACTAGAAAACTGTTTTTTTTTTGTTCAACAATGAAGAAAAGCAAATACAATCAATAATAATAATAATAATGTCATTCATCGGCAATGGTATGCCAATCAAAAACAACTTACCAGTCTTTTGATTGACGTTCTGGCACACTTCTTCGTTTCTTGAGCTTACGTGGACTGCATTTCTGGGATGTATTGTGTTCGTTGATTGGCAAAACGAATACATATTCACGTGCCATTTGTTGCAATGCTCGATGCGGACACCGTAGATATCCTTTGATGGGTGAGTTTGATGAAAATTTTGCACCACCAAATGCCAATATCACAATGTTTTCTCAGCATCCGACATTCTACGATCGACTTTTGTCATTTGCTTCACCAACACATGCAATGCTACCTGCATACGTCTAAATGCATCAAACTTAAAACGACCCACACGTTTTTGGTACTTTATCTGTAATAATTAAGAATGAATGACACACATCAATAACATGAAATAAAATCAACTCAAGAGAGAGAGAAAAAAATAAATAAATACCTCGCATGATTCATTGAATACATCCAGCTGGTAATCCAGATAGGTAAGGTAGTCAGAACTTTTCTTCGATGGCATTTCCTCATAGATTTCGCGATTTTCGCGCAGCTTACGACATTTTTTCTCAAACGCGCCCGTAAATCGCTTCAGTTTGTATTGACGGTCGAAAAAACCGGTCATATGGTGCCACTCTTCCGATGATTTCAGAAAATTTTCTTCATTATCGGTTGCCAAATCTTTGCGTACGACCCCCACAAATTCTCTGTAGCCCGGATCACAACCGATAATTTTTTTTATCTGAAGGTCCATTTTCCAAGGCGGCGATTACAATCGTGTACGATTTCAAATCGTTGGCCAAAATCGTTAACGATTGAGATCAATGGTTTTTTTGACGCCAAAATCGTGAACGATTTATTATTTGTGGTTTTTTTGACGCCCGATTTGAAAAAAAAACGTGGACGATTGCAATCGTCGCCTTGGAAAATGCACCTTGACCTGAATCATAAGCACGCGTCCTAGCGCAGTGTAGTATTTTAGTACTGGTGGCGCCATCACATTTACATTAGTTTTGGCAACACTGTTATTAGTGTTTTGACATTTCATGAAATGTGACATTAATGTTTGTTGATATGAACCGTGTTTGAGTTTTTGAAATTCTAATTTATTATTGTGAGTTTTTATATGTATTTTATTATTATGATAAAATAACAGTGAAAAAAATGTGTGAAAACATATGTAAGTGTTGAAACTTTCAAAAAAACAAGCGTAAATTTCTTGAATTGAATTGGTAAAATTTCTTATTATTTACAAGGTGCGTTGTTCTTTAAGGAGTCAGTCAAAAATATATTTGCCCCCCCCCTGCAAAACAAAAAAAAATGCGATTTGCCCCCCTCTGCAAACTGCGATTTGCCGAATAATAATAATTAACAATTCTTGATTACATAACATCGATTTGTATAGACTAAACAATTTAATCTATATTTATATTAGTCATTGCATTCAGTGTCGAGCAGAATACATTCATAGGTGATGACGAGGGTTCCTAGGTGTCGGATGACCCCCCCCTAAAATATTTTTAGGAACCCTCAACAATTTTGGAAATGAGGACCTTTTTTTTTTTTTTTTGCTCTTCACTTTTTTTGGTCGGGAAATTCTTTCGATTTGCTAGGGATTTTCACCTCAAAAAGTGACTTCCAAAAAAAAAAAAAAAACGATTTTATCGTCATTTGCTAGAGAATTTGGAGTTGAAAAATTCTTTCGATTTGCTAGGGATTTTCACCAAACTTGACTTCCAAAAAAAAAAAAAAAAAAAACGATTTATGTGTCATTTCGCATTTCGTACAAATTGTTGACATCGTCAGGGACCCCCCATGGATTTTTCCAGGAACCCCCTACAGAATTTTGCCATCACCCCCCCCCCCCTAAAAAATTTTACGTCATCATCTATGGAATACATTCATTTTTATTATTCATTATTATGGCTACCAGCAAACGGACTTGAGTGAATTCGTTCAAATTTTAGCTACTTGAACAGTTACTTATACTTCATATAATATTCCAGTGTAGTGTGTAATTCAAAATATAAAATATTTTTCTTGGGGAAAATATGACCAAATTTTAAAAGGAATTATTTTCTTCTATTCTTCGGGCATAAATTCTCCATTATATTTGTATGGGGGAAATTGTAACCGGGGAAAATATGACCGGTCACCATTCAAAATGTATATAAAACAATTTCTTTTGATTTTGTCGTCTGTTACGTTATTAATACAGTGCGAAAAAAAATGACGACTGCAATTTTGTGGTAAACGAATTCAATACAGCAACTCCAGGAGTTTTAAACGGAAATGATTTTATAAAATTAAGAATGATTTGCTCGTATGAAAGAAAGTTTACTTCGTTAGAAGGGTACAAAGTGATTGGTATTTCAGTGAGTGATGGTAAAAAACTCAAGAAATTGACCTCATAGCAAATTTATAGAACGAGAAATTGACAAGTGATTACTTTACGATTGGTGCTGAAAAAAATTTGGGCTGTTTTTTTTGTTAACCCTCCCCCCCGGCCAATAACCATTTGCCCCCCTGCAAAAAAAGTCTCCCCATCTATGCTTTTTTGCCGAACTCGGCAAAGTTTTTTTCCGTTGAACAGAAGTGGGTTTGCGACGTCGTTTCATCTTCTGTCAACTAAAAATTCAGCAGCACACTTCAACAAAACTTTTTTGTCGATTTTCACCGAATAATAAATATTTTAAAACTAAACTGTATCGACAGATCAAGAAGAGAAAATAATTTATGCGTCCGATCACTTCAATTGTTGTTCACTGTCTGCGGCTGATGCGTATTTCACTTTGCTCATCTCTCTACTACATACCAAATCTCAAATATTCATACAATGTGTTTCTTTCGTATGTGTATGCGTTTTTGTGTTGTCATTCCCAATGGTTTCCCAATCATCTCTGACTCACTCACTCATTCGGCCAGCATCCATTTGGCTCTTTGTGCAAAACGATTTTCCCTTTTTCGTACAGAGCGATCTCTTTTCCGCAACTATTTTGCAGAGCATTTTTGCAAATCCACCTTTTGAGTTGTACAAACCTGGACTCTGTTGTTGTTTTGTTTCTTTCTTTTATTATTTTTTTTTTTGCAAACTTTCCATTGTTTTCATCGGCTTTTTTCTGGATTTATTTCTTGTGTTTTACGAATGTTTGACTGTGTTTTTGGCTTTATACTTGTTATTCGCTATCACTTGATATTGGATGGTTTTTATAATTGGGCAAACGAAAATCATCTCACTAAGCAAATTAATATTTCCGATTGCTAGTAACATCTTTTAGATAGGTTCTTTTTGATAATTCAAACGAATATTTGTATATCTGAAAATGTTTTTCTTTAAATATTCACGAATATTTATCGCTAAATGTAATATATTCAGTGGATTTAGTTTTAACGATAACAATATTGTTATCAAAATAACACATCTTTTTCGCACTTGTTTTGCGAGGTTCATCACAAAATCTCAAATCTCCTTCATGCAGATCTGTGTAATTGAAATTCAAAACATCTTCTCACGTGTAATTCATAATAAAGAGAACACACATGCAGTTTATGTCATAAAATTCATTTTATGAATATCTATCACACGCAAACGATTTTGAATTGAATTTTACCTCGTTGAAATCGCAAAAATTCAACTTTCGAACTCGCTTTGAAGTGTGTACTAAATGTTGGGAAATCTAAATCTCAGAGACGATCCGGACTGTAGACTGTGTGGTGGAGAAGGGGAAACCACTGCCCACCTCATAGATAGATGTCCAATGTTGGATTATAGATGTCCTATTAACATCAAAATATTAACATATCTTATTACTAAATACGAAAAATTCTTTATTAAC